TTCTTGCCGTCGGGTTTCGAAGAGAGTTAACCCTAACTTTTTATAGTACTAATAGTAATGCATTTAATTAAATAATGCACCAAAGAACATAGACTAGTAACAAGGAAAAAGTAGACAATTTCCCCTGACTCTCAAAATTTGTCTGGTTTTCTAGCTATGTGACAAGAGCCATTACAAATTCATCCAAGCTAGCTGTTAACTTTCCCACAGGAGCGAATCTTCTATTTTCATTATTTAGATGAAAACCTTGACTTTCTATTGGTTATAGGTAATATATAATGAAATGTAAGAGAGAACTATCAATGAATTGTGAAATAGAGGATGTGGCAGGAGGGGTCTCATTTTCTAAACAAAATTGAAGACTATAAAAATTATGGTTTGTTTCAGCAATAACGATTTTATAGAGAGTAATTTACGTTTAATTTCATACATTTTCGAGGTGTGATAGATAAAATAGGGATGATGACATACTAAGACAAAATGTGTCACATGGGTAACACTAGTGGAAATTCATAATTTTTTTTTATATTCTCTTGTAGAATTAAGAATTTAGAATTTGTATACTATTAAAATATGGATTATTAGCTAAGATTTCATGCTATTCTAATTGATATAACATAAAGAAAAAGTAGTTTAATAAAATTTTGAATGTAAGACTAAAACCTTATGTCATGTGGAGAAAAGGGTACCCGAGGCGATAGGGTTAATTACCTCCAAAGAAACATCACATTTACCCAGAGTAAATAGTGATATTTACATTACTAGTCATTTTCCTTCAAACATCAGTGAAACTGTAACCTTGAGATGTTACTTGAACTACCACTGAAGGAGAACACTGTTGACAACCTTGCACAATGTGAAGTAAAGCTGTAATTTCATGGGCAGAACAGGTATTATGTACTCTAGACTAACAAAGGAACCACGTGTTATGTGAAACCTGCACTTATACTGTATAACTACTGTTATAATGCAAGAAAATAGAAACATAATTTACAACTATTAATCTTTAAGCTCATAATCAAAAACCCATTATCACAGAAATCTCATTAGATTCGTAAACTAATAATTTCATTAAA